AACTTCTCGAAAGCCAGGCAAAGCTGAAAGCAATGGAGGACCAACTCCACACCGCTGTGCAGCAATGCGATGATGTCTTACGCTCACCAAGTCCCAAGACATGCAAGGGAGAACTCACGCCAACAGAGCAATTGTCCCCGCTCAGCCAGCGAAGCGAGCCCATACCAAAGCAGATCGCCGCAGCGCATCCCCCAGCACAGAAGCAGCCAGCCAAAGCCACAGCAGCAGCCCCAAAAGCCAAACCGGCCAAACCCCCAGCGCACCCGCTGGCTTTGGTGCCTGCAAAAGCCAGTTTGCCCAAGATGGCAGCAGCCAAGTCGAGACTGCCAGAGCCACGGCCCAGTGACGCTGCCATTCAACGCAGGCTTTCACGTGCTATGGAGCCTACTAGCAAAGCATCCGCAACCAGTGGCTAGCTGGTGGAGACGAGCGCAATCATGTGATCAGGCTGTTCGAGCAAACGGGCTTCAACACGGACCGGTGCGCGCGTGTGCATGCTGAATGTGGAAATGTGGAGGGTGGGTGGGGGCGGGGGGGGGGGGTACCCTAAACCCTGTCTTTATATATACCCTAAACATGTATGATCCCTTATATAAGCCCAAAATGTTTATGTAACCTTGAACCACCCTTGAATTTTGAAACCCTAAACTAAAAAGATAGCGCCGAGTAAAACTAAAAAAACAAGCGTGTGTTTGATCTTTTGCAGGATGCCTTCGTGAGGAAATTTTCGGCGAAAACCGAAAACACGAAAGAGATGGAACTGGCTGTGATGTTCGAGTATTTGACGAAGGAAGAGATGAGTCAGGAGCCTTACAACATGTGCGAGACCTTCGGCTACAATGTTGTACATACATTACACATGTTTGTTTTTTTCACAGAGGTTGGTACGCGGGATGTTTTCACGCTCAGGGAAGACATCCAGGCAGTTGTCGACGCCGCGAACAAAGACCCGGAACAATACATTCGGTCACGTGGCAGCAGCTCCAGACATTGTGTCTGGAAAGCTGTGGTTGCATATTCTGGCTTTTCTGGCTAAGGAAGCACCCTTACAAGAGAGGTATTCTCAAATACTACTGCGAGCTGAAAGTGCAAGGCCACAGGAAGTGCCTTCGACTTGAACATTTTCATGTTCGATTTTAAGTTCGACGGTGTCGGTGTTTGTTTCAATTTACATGCACCATGTGTCGCGTGCACCAGGCAAACGGCAAAAGCTACTATCACAGATCTTTGGGAGGGGACCGATGTGGAGATGTCTGGCCTGGACATGGAAATCGATCTGAATGATGCTTTGGCTCAGTCTTCTGGTCTCCTGCATGCAACCGAGATACTTGTGCAAGCGCTGCCAACGTTGCCATCTGGGATCTGCACTCCTCAGCTAAGGTGAGTTGCCAGAAAGCTGGAATGATGCGGCTGACGGTGCTGTTCTGGGACAGCCAAACTTATCAGATGAAGCAAAATCTCTTCTGAAGAAATTGGGTTGGCCCGACGTCCAGGAAGCCACGAAGCCCTCAAGTCTGATGAGTAAGGCTATCAGTGCCCTCCAGAAACGTTTGAAGAAACTCGACGACCTCATGCCGGACCATGAAGTCAAACAGCTTCCTCCGCCCCCTGAAGACAATGCTACGGAACCTGTCTCGCAGAGGCCTGGCACTTCGATCGATCGTTCTTAAAAAACACACTCAAGCACGTTCGCAAACCCTCTAATTAAAGGCTCTTGCAATCGGTGCGAGGATGCTGCGCAAGCTGCTGCAGATGCACAAGTCCGTGGATGAATGCTGTGAACAGCTCTCGAAGCACATGTCCGAGGGTGTGGTCGAAGGCTACAGCGACACGCGACTTGCATGAACCGATCCTATATACGCAAATATTGACTCGAGCAGCGTGCAAGGGCACTAAATGCATCCCAAAGTATATTGTCCCTTAAAAGGACAGAAGCTGAAATCGATGTGCTGCTGGGCAAGAGTCGAAAGCTGATCCCTGGCTGTGCTACTATAAAAATATACCAGCATACCTTTCTCGAGCTAAACCCCATAGATAACCCTAAGACCCTATAAACCCTAACTTATAATTCCCTTATAACCCTAAGAACCCTAAACTGCCAGTCAGCTGAGGATGATCGAGTCGTCAGAACTGGAGACACGGGCGAAATCTGCAAGGACTCATGAACTTCTTACCAGGAGGGTCCTCTCCCGTTTTGTGTTATGAAAAGGACACTGACGCTGGCCACGAAAGCTGAGGCGCCTGAGCCGGCTCAGGCCAAGCCAAAGCACGCACGTATCAAAGCCCCACCCCCCCCGAAGCGGCCAGCTGCCAAGGCTACTGCGAAAGAGCCCCCGGCGAAGCGCCCCAAAAAGGATTAAACTAGAGGGAGCCTTCACTATGCAACGTGGTGAATCCTGAAGTGTTTACACTAGTGTACTATAGCTAGACAGACTGCCAGCGGCGCTTTGAAGTTTGTGGCTCTCCCAATGTGCGACGTGGAGTTTTGATTGCGCGCGCCCGTGCCGTGCCAAACAAGTTAGCAATGTTTGTTTCAGCAGGGCGAGTTGTGCTTGACTGCAACTACACTGAGCGAGCATGCAGACCTCATCTTTCGTGTTAAGACCTTTCCTGCCTGCAAGGCCCAGTGCCAACGCATACCCTACGTGCTCTTGCAGAGCGAGTGGCTGATGGAGCTCTTCGTTTGCAAATGCTGGGTATGCGATCTGTGCACTCTCGCACGGTTTAGGGTATGCATGGGGGGAAGGGGGGGGGGGGGGGGGTATGACTTACAGGGCTGGGGTAGGAGAGTTAGAGGGTTTTGGCTCGGGCTCGGGTTCGGGTGTTTTAGGGGATCGAACTCGGGCCCCACAGCGTCCTTGCAAATGGTTCGAGGTCTAGGGATTGCAAGGCGTATAGGGTTCCTGCAGGGTCTATCGGGTTTATAGGGTCTGTTTCGGCCGATGCCCCCATACTCTCTCAAGCTGCATCAGCCCTTGTAGGTTGCTATGGTTCTGCCAACCCGTCAACCCTACACCCCAATAAAATAGACCTATATAAACCCTATTCTGAACCCTCAGCCCTCTTTTCCACCCTGTGGCAACCCTAAACCCGATTAAAACCCCATATATTGTAAGCCCTACATATATGTAAACCCTATGCAAGCCCAGGCTCCTGCGTGCATCATCGGCGAGATTGCCACAGCAGTCGTGAGTGATGGGAGCCAAGCGCAAAGCCTGAGGGATGCTGCAAAGGTGGACAAGCATCACAGTGAGCGAAATGCCCACCGCTTGTTTAACCGATATGGTTTGGCACTCAAGGTTCCAATTTCCACATTAAGTGTTCCTGAAAGTAGTGGGCAGGATGAGATCTCAATTCCGTACTTGAAAGTGACTGACTACTTGCAAGTCTTGCTAAACAAGTACGAGGAAGTCTTGCTTGGGGGGTTGAAGGTGGACCAAGCGGAGGGTATGCTGTCCAAGTTTTGGTCCTGCTTCAAGAGCTACCACAAGGATCATGTTGCTTTTACCTCTCTGAGTGACTCAGAGCGGCGCCGCTGCATACCAGTACTAGTTCATGGAGACAAGGGTAGGACCCTTCAAAAATCCCCTATTTTTGTTCTCACTTTTGAACTTCCTGTCGGCCTACCCCCTGCCATGCTCAAACGAACTCGGTATGACCAGAGGCGCGAACACTTGCAAAACCCGAACAGTAGGCTGAGGATGCCTTGCCAGCAACGTGCACGATTTTTCGGGAAGCGCAAGTTTGAGGAGATGAGTTTTGATGGGTGCCCTCTGGAGCATGGGTGTGGGGACTACCTACGACACAATTCCAAAGGTCACTCTTTCTTGAGCCGCTTCCTGATTGCAGCCGTGCCGTCGAAGGTTTACAACAGAAACCAGGAAGTGTTGCCCTGCCTGCTGAAGGAAGTCGCTGGGCAGTTCGAGCAGCTGCTGCATCGTGGCCTAGTTCACGCCAAGTCAGGCTTGAACTTCAAGTTTGCGTTCATTGGGGCTAAGGGGGATGCTGAGTGGCACTGGGAAGCTGCCAAGTACAATAGGAGCTATCATCGAACAGGTGTGGTCAACATGACAAAGATATGCCCCTGGTGTGATGCCGGTGCCGAAGGCGCTAGCTTCACAGATTGCAGTGATGCACCCGAGTGGCTGCCAACGATGGCGGCCAGTGATCCGTGGGACACGCTTCCGCCGCTGAACCATGCACCATTCAGCGCCCGCTTTCCAGCCAACATGTACAAGTTCGACCCCTTCCACGTGCTAAAGTTTGGTGTGTTCCGCGATTGCGTTGGTAGCTGTATCGTGCGGCTGGCTGCGATGCGATACTTTGATTTTGACCCGGGAGATTCCAAAGGAATCCTGCAAAGACTTCAGAGAGCTTACTCCATGTACAAGCTGTGGGGTCTTGCAGAGGGCAAGAATATCTATCTGAAGGGCTTCACCAAATCCAACTTCAATTTCGAGAAATACAGCAAGTTTCCCTGGGTGAATGCCAAAGGTTCGGAAGTTACCCTTCTCATGATGTGGCTAGAGTTTTACCTCCAGCTAGTCCTCAAGGAATTGAAGCTGGAAGAGGATCGCCTACCGGTGTCGGCCATGCTCCAGATGATGCGTGGCGGCTTGTCATATGTAGGAGTTATGCACAGCCACGGGCTCAGTATGCCAAACTCTTGCGGAAAGCTACTTCTGGAGGCTGGCTTTACGTTTTTGAGGGGGTACACATGGATGGCGAACCACTGCACGGGCATAGGGGTGTCGGGGTTTCGACTCCGCCCCAAATTACACTATATGCACCATCTTTTACAAGAGACGAAGGATCAGGTAGCAACCGGTGCAGAAATCATCTCTCCTGTAATGTTCCTATGTGAGCAAAACGAGGATTGTATAGGGAGATTGAGTAGGGTAAGCAGGAGAGTGAGTGCTGCAACGGCGAGTTTGAGGACCACTCAACGGTATTTGGTGAAGATTCGATGCCTACTTGAAAAGCTCCTCGACCGGCAGTGACCAGTGACATGCAGAAAAGCAGGGAATCCGCGATTGCACTTTTCGAGAACAATTGCGCTTTTGTGTTTATGGTTGCGCTTTTTCGTGTACAAAGTAACAATGGCGGAAATTATGAAGGGCCGGGTGGTCAAGGTAAACCCTAAGCCTCAAACTCTAAGCCCTAAAAGGCCCCCTTGCATGAGGCACCTCCCCCCTCTATGCTGACTGCATGTAGCTCAACCTAGAAGCAGTTCTTATGACACTTTAGCCCCTTTTAGGCTCCCTGGTAACTGACTCTGTTCTTTTGATAAACCCCAAACCCCAAGCCCCAAACCCTAAACCCTAAGTTATAAACCCAAAGCTCTACACCCGAAACCCTAAACCTGCTCCTCCAGGAGTACCTTTCTCACATCACATGGACTGACGAGGAACGAAAGGAGCGAAATCAATTGCCGCCTGCACGAATCTAAGGCCATTAGACTGTCCCCTTGTGTTTAGTGTTTAGGGTTTAGGGTGTAGGACCTAGGGTGTTTTGAAGAATCTAAGGCGTAAGGGTTTGCGGTTCTACGTTCAAGGACTTGAATCAAGGTGTGCGTGGGCTGGGCTTGTCCGTGGGTTAGGTTCAGGAGGTTCAGGACGTCCAGGGGCTTCTGAAACCCTTGTTGCACCATTCCAAAGCCTATATATGTGTTTGGGTGAGGGGACCGTGGATACATCTCAGCTGGATGAGACGTATGTATGTATGTATTAGTTTATTATTATTATTATTAGTATGAGTATTAGTATTATTATTATTATTATTGATTTTGTGTTTTTTTGGGGGGGTTCACTCACCCTCCGAAAGCCTAGGCCTAGGCCCTGAATCCCAAGGGTAAACCCTGAATCTCCCGAAGCCCTAAACCCTGAACCCTGAACCCTAAACCCTAAACCTAAACCCTAATTAAACCCTAAACCCTAAACCCTAAACCCTAAACCCTAAACCCTAAACCCTAAACCCTAAACCCTAAACCCTAAACCCTAAACCCTAAACCCTAAACAAACCCTGAACCCTGAACCCTGACTCCCAAGCCGAGGCTAAGCAAGAACGTTCGCTCGCTGCCAGATGCACCCAAACCTCCGAGGTGCCACTGGTTTAGGGTTTAGGGTTTAGGGTTTAGGGTTTAGGGTTTAGGGCTTAGGGTTTAGGGTTAAGGGTTTTTGGGTTTAATTAGGGCATGGTTTAGGGTTTTGGGTTTTGGGTTTTGCGGTTTAATGGGGTTTTCGTTTTAGGGTTTAGGGTTGGGTTTTAGGGGTTTCGGGTTTAGGGCTTAGGGTTTTAATTAGGGTTTAATGTTTTTTAGGGTTTAGGGTTTTAGGGTTTTACGGGTTTAGGGTTTTAGGGGTTTAGGGGTTTTATGGTTTTGGGAGTTTAGGGTTTAGGGTTTTACGGGTTTAAGGGTCTTATGGGTTTTAGGGTTTTAGGGGTTTTAGGGTTTCAGGGGTTCAGGTGTTTTAGGGTTTAAGGTTTTGGGCTAGCGAGGCATGTCTAGAATGGCAGTTGGGTTTGTTTTGACCCTAGGGCCACGATTGGTGAAAGCTGAACAGATCTTCCGAAAGCCTTAAACCCCGCAAGCCCTACACAGTTCGAGGTTCATGGTGTTTCTGGTTCAGGGATATGGGCTTTGTAAAAAGAGCCAAGCGTCAAGCGTCCCCATTCTTGAATGACTGATCAGGGTTTAGGGATTTGTAGTTAGCAATGAAGTGAAAACAAAGTCATGTCGGTACCACCACCCTGATGTGCCTTTACCAAGATTCTGCATAGTGCGGCCCTGCAGTAAGAGGTCTGCTTGGCTGATCTACTGCTGCGAATATTATGTCAAGACGCTTGGAGAAGATCGGCCCAGGGCATTCGAGAGTGGAGGGGTGGTCAGTCAGGTTTAGGGTTTAGGGTTAGGGTTTAGGGTTTGGGGTTTGGGGTTTGGGGTTTAGGGTTTAGGGTTTAAGGCCGTTTAGGGTGTAGGGTTTAGGGTTGTTTGAAGGGCGTGTGTAGACCTAGGGCTCGCGCTGTGTAGGATCTTGTGCATGGGTTAGAGCTGGCCTTGCGGGGCTCGGTGTCTCAACATGGCCCAGCATGCTAGTTGTCCTCAACGATGCCTGTTGAAGAGCCTCCTCCCTAAACCCTATAAATCCTAAACCCAAAACCCAAAACCCCAAGCAAGCGCCCTGCCCTATATATGAATATGTTCAACGGGTCTAACCCTAAACCCTAAACCCTACTATGGTGATAGTGGGTTATCAGTGCAATTAATTGCTTAAGAACCCCGAAAAAAATGAAGATATTATTCCTTATTAAGGGTAATATAGGGATCATTTTTTCAATTTTTTGGGGGGTTCTTAAGCAAGCAGTAGTGCAGTGTAACTCCCAACCTGAAAGTGAGGCTTAAGACCCCAATGGTCTGATTCCCGGACTTCTGGTGGTTCCACCTAGGCTTGAAAGTGGGGCTTCATGGCTAGTCTGTTTGGTTTCTCCCAGTCTAAGGTTGGGATGCGGGATAGCCAAACCCTAAACCCTAAACCCTAAACCCTAAACCCTAAACCCCTGAACCCTAAACCCTAAACCCTAAACCCTCCCACCCCAAAGGTGTACTCTACGATTGGGTGGGAGGGGGGAGGAGGCGGGGCACCTTGCGACACCACTGCCATACTCAGGCTATGTTGGCACATGCTCGCTCAACCCCGTTCAGAAAGTTCTAAACCCTAAGCCCTAACCCCAAACCCTAAACCCTAAACCCTAAACCCTAAGCCCTAAGCCCTAAGCCCTAAGCCCTAAGTCCTAAGCCCTAAGCCCTAAGCCCTAAGCCCTAAGCCCTAAACCCCTAAACCCCTAAACCCCTAAACCCCAAACCCTAAACCCTAAACCCAAGCCAACCCCACAAGTCCGCAGTGACTCCAATAAGGAAGGGTTCATCCTCCGCAGCGATCTTAACTGAAGCCGGCAAGTCCTGGCACGCCCTCGGCAAGGCTGAGCGCTGCTTGGCACGCTTCGGGGCCCCTATAGACCACAAGTCCTGAAACCCTGAACCCCCAAAACCCTAAACCCCTAAACGCCTCTACCCCTTAGACCCCCAAACCCTAATCCCTAAGTCCCCCAAACCTTTTGTGACTGGGATTAAGGTATAGGCCTACCTAGACAATGATCCACAAGTAATTATCGAAAGGAAATCCAAAGACGGGACTCTAGCTCACAACGCCGCTGTACAGAATCCGTGAACCCAATACTTCGGACCAGATCTGCCTAAAACTCAAAGTCACGGGAGCTACTGTTGGGCGGGTGCGCTCGTGCCCAGCCGCAACACTGAACCCTGAAGCACGGGTTCTGTTTAAGGGGTTACCCTTGGGATGCTCTATATTTTCCCTTAACTATTGGATTTTAAGAGGATCATATGTTTTTTCACAGGGTTGTAAGGGCCCTCCTAGTTGTTTAGAAGAACCTCCAAGATAGTTCGCCCCTTGCCCTCAGCAAGCCGGAGGCCCCCCATCGATCCGCCCTCGGCCGCGCAGGGATTTCCCAAAAGGCCTCCGAAACTCGAAGCCGAAGCCCTCCTAGGACCGGGAGTAGGCCCTGTGTTCCTTTGTTTAGGGCTGGGGTTCCCTTATCATCCCCTTAGAACCAAAAAGGGTACCCTTTTTATTCCTAGGTTACTCCCGGGTCTAGCCTCAGTAGGTGTCGACCCTAAACCCACATACCTGAACGGTAAAGTTATCATACACCAGAATACGTATCGTACACTATAATAGTGCAGAAGAAAGAACTAGATGTGTCGTTTATGTGTGCATGTATATGTACATACAAACAGCCACACGCGTAGTGCCCCAGACTTTTGGGCTTTAACCGCTTTAACCCAAGTGCTGGACCCGATCCATTTTCCCAAGGGGTGTCATATGACGCAGCCGCGCAGACGGAGAAGGACCAGGGCGTCCCTTGTGCTCCCACCATATCAGAAGCTCATTGAGGTCGATAAGCCCTGCTTGGAAGCCCTTTTGACTAAGTCTACGTAGTTTCCCCTAGAAGCCCTCTCATACTCCCCACTACCCACCTTGCCAGCCCTACTTATTATGTGAAATGGGCTTCCAGGTAAGATCCTAAAGTCGCTTGACATGAAGCCCTAAAACGCCCCCAAGCCCTCGTAACACTGAGACTGCGAGGAGCCAAAACCCGAAACAATCCCTAAAGCACAGCCGTGAAGACCTCAGCCATAAAGCCCTAAAGTATCTGAAGCTCAAAGGCCCGCCTACAAGCTTCACTAAACCCTAAACCCGAAACCCTAAACCCTAAACCCCAAACCCTAAACCCTAAACCCTAAACCCTAAACCCTAAACCCCGACAGCTCCTATTCAAAAGCACCAAGAGGAGACCGCCAAAGCAGACATGGAGAAGTTCAAGTCTTCCGACGAGTACCGAGAGCTCAGCCCCTTTGCCAGTTAGGGTTTAGGGTTTAGGGAGTTTAGGGTTTAGGGCCGTTTAGGGTTTGGGGTTTGGGGTTTAGGGTTTAACCATTTGGGTTTGGGGTTTTTTGGTCTAGATTTACAATGGACATGGGATTAGCAGCTTTGCAGGCTTTTCGGGTGTCAATTTGAATTTGGGGGGGGGGGGGGGGGGGTTTGAGGATTCGGGGGTTTGCGGGGTTTAGTTTTTAGGGTTCCCTTCTTTGGGGTTTTTGGGGCTTAGGGTTTTTAGGGTTTTTTTGGGGTTTTGGGGGTTTGGGGGTTTGGGGGTTTAGTTTTTTAGGGTTCCCTTATTTGGGGGGCTTAGGGTTTAGTTTTTTTAGGGCTTTGGGGGTTTGTTTTTTTTGTGTGTTTTTATTAGGGTTCCCTTATTTGGGGTTTAGGGGTTTGGGGCTTTGAGGGTTTGGGGGTTTGTTTTGTTGGGTTTCAGGTGGGTGGTATGAGTGGGTTTATGAGCTTGCAGGGGGGACTCAACGTGACCAAGGGCTTGCAGCCTTGCAGGATTCCAGGTTGGGATAGTTCCTCGCGTTCGCAGC